CTGCACGGTACATTTAACAATCATTAAACTGCAATCAGATGATAGAAGGTCCCATGATAGCTACCTATAAAATTGACAGAGAAAGAACAAGAATTGCACACCTTGTCAAGGACATTCTCGTTTTCTTCTTGCAGCATATCAAGCTGCATAATGAACAATTATCAGTTGTGGAGATTGCACGTTAAAAATTCATTTACTTCTTTTGAATAACAGAACACTAATGTGTATGCAAATTAGGCATGATTAGCATACTTCATCACGGAGTGCAGAAGCCTCACGCTGATCTCCAGTATCTTTTGAGTTAAACCCAATGTCGGATGCGAATCTGCATTCATGGATGTTTACACTGTTCATTTGCTACATCAATAACCCAAAAGAACCTGCCTCAAGAACTAGTAATTTATATACAAACTTACACACGTAAGAAAATGTCCTAGCTGTCTTAATGGGTAGGAAAAAAAAAGGTGTTGCTTTCAAAGCAGGAATTTAATATTAAAGCTTAACCAGGAATCAAAGATAAAATAGTTCAAGATTCACATTTTCAGATTTTGAAATTCTATATATGCAAGCAAAAAGACCATGAAAATGACACAAGTAAAAATTATAAAATTACACAACGTACAAGTTGGTATTTTAGATTTTGATTGATCATCCAGAAAATGCTATCGTAGGAGAAGAAAACTCATTTAATTACGGTATTTTGTACCTTTTCTCGGGTTGCTGGTTTTTTGGAGGCTCCGAAGGTAGAGATACAGCAGTTCTCAGTGATGTTTTACTGGGTGGCGGTACAGGTGGTGCCGCACGAAGAGAAATTGGTGACCTTCCAGCTGATGTTGATCGAACCGTCGGTGCTTCCTCTAAGAAGTTACACGCTAACTAGTTTCAAAGTATCAGATATTCCAGTTAGACTTCCTTATACAGTACCAAATTACACATAAATCGTACACATAAAGCATTCCTAAAATGAGCAATAATCCGCGCTATTATCCCGCGTTTATTAACATTTAATATAATTTCTTAACCGCCTAATTTTTCAATCAAAAACCAAATCCAAACTTAGAAGAAATTACGTAACAACAGAATTTAAGACACGAAGGTCAAATCCGATCTCATCACAAACAAAAAGCAAACCACTAAAGTCACCATAACAAAAAAAAGAAAGTAAAGTTCAGCAATAGAGTAAATTTACCGCAGGTGAAGGAGATCTGCCGATCCTCGTAGAGTTCATAGCAGCTTTATTACCAGCACCACCAGTGGTTGCTGTGGCGTTAACGTTCCTAGACAAAGCAAGAGGAGGAGGAGCACTATAACGGAACCCTAGATCGTCGCCGTCATTTTCGTCGTCGTCGTCGTCGGTGGTCTGCGAAGCCATGACCTGAGCCAGCCGCTGAGCCGCGGCTTTCGCGGCGAAGTTCTGCGTCCGCTTGATACTGGAAATGCCTGTGGCGGAGGAAGAACGTGCGTGTTGGGGTTGGTGACGTGCCGGCGACAATGTGGGTGAGTCAATAGCAGCGCCGGTGCTCCCCGTTCCCGAGTCGCTACTCCATCGGCGCGTGTAGACCGGGCTCTCGGTTCGCCTCCGGTCCATGAAACTGAAGTAACTAAATCTTGAGTTAATTTAATTCTTTTTAGTTACAAGATAGAAAGCGAAATGCGGAAGCCTAGATCTTCGTGAAGGAGAGTAAGACACAAGATAAATATGTTCTGAGAGCTAGTCGGCGAATTTTTTGTTTTGTTTTTTTCTTTTTAATATCTCTGTTCGGTCGTGAGATTGTGAACTGTGAGGACCGTGGAACGGAACGGGGAATTATTTTTGGAATTGAAGTTATTTTCATAAAAGTTTGTTAATTTTTTTTTTTAAAGCCAATCTCATGTATTCACAATTTTAATATGCATGTGAAATATATATATATTTTTATTTTTGTTTTCAACACATGTCATGATTTCATTGGATTGTTAAAAATATCCAACTATAATTGACGTTTGGGTATTCCATCATTTTGTGGGGCAAACATAAGAAAATAATGGAGCATATGGTCTTGTAGGATGTGGTTGAGTTTTTGCATGTTTTTGTTATTGTGAGAGGGGCACATGGTTAATGCGGAAAAGAAACATAATAATATTGCACTGCGCCTTACAAACTTTCACCCTCTTCCTATCGTAGCACACAAAAATCAAACATAAAAAAAAACAAGCAAAATTCTGCCTCTTAACAGAAGTCAGACATTAACAACCAGAGAACAGAAATGCAGAAGAAATTAACGACTGGGTACGTTACGTATATGGTTTTTAAATCCAGCAGAAACCAGCCTTATTTCATTTCATAAACCTTCCAAGGAATAGTCTCTTCAGTCTTGAAAATTGAGATTGATTTTTCTTGGGAAGTTTATGGGTTACCAGGGAGCTCTTGCTCTTCACGCCCCTGACTGCATGCTCCTGCACCATATTCATCTTGGAACTAAGATCTCTAATGGTTTCTCTCTTCTCATCATTTCTCTTTATTAACTCAGCCTGGTGACTTAAATTATCCTCTACAAGTTCCGACACCTTGAGCCTTAGCTCATTCCATAGTTTCTCATTCTCTAACATGGCCGCTCGAGAATCATCGCTTGTATTACGCTGGAATCCACTGCCATCGATATTCTTTTTCTCTTGGCTTCCATCATCTGGTTTCATCTTTGTGTTTTTGCATGAGTCAGCTGGTATATACTCATCATCGGATTCGGTCTCGTGATCAGGATCTTCAGCAGCACTGGATTTGGAATGGAAATTAGACTGTCCACTCAATTCCTTACCTTCAAGACGTTCAACATAGTTTTGTAGCCCATGGACTTGGTTAACGGAGCTTGTCAAAGACAATAGTGATCTTGGATGAGAATCTCGTTTGACTTCTGATCTCAGCTGGTCATACTTGTCAGCTAACGAGCGGTAGGATTTGTGCAAGTCTTCAACCATATGGATGAGCTCAGGTCTCTTTTCGTAGTACATTTCAGCCCTCTTAGCTAATGAGTCTCCATCATCTTGCACGATAATGCTAAGAATTGCATTTATCTTCCTATCCAAATCTGCATAAAATTCACAAACATTACAATACGTAACTAATAAGGTTAAGCGTTAAGAACAATGCAATGCCATGCCATGAATGAAATTATTCTAGGTTAATATAAAAGTATACAAGACTTGAAAACAGAAAGTGTGACCACACGGTGAAATTTCAGGTATTACCCTTTGATGCAGTGACATTAATGGATTCCATTGAAGCGCCACTCACAACTGTGTACACCCGAGGCACAAATAAAAGCAAGAAAAAACTATGGAAAAAAGTGGTAAAGAACCCCACAAAATTGAAGAGAAATTGATTCCCAATGCGTATCACAAAAGCAAATTTATATTTTATTTTGCCTTGAAGGAATATTATTGAGCTTGTGTCTCCTTGAAGCAAATGCAATATCTATGACCGTCAGACTCGTTAACAGCAATGGGCCCGAGACGAACTGTTTCCTATTAATTTTGTGAATGAAGTTCCCGCTTAACAAAGAAACTCCAGTTTAGTATATCAATCCAAAGACATCTAACTACATCAAAGGATTGATTCAGATGCATAACACAAGATCAACACCCTAATTTCGGAAAGAAAGAAACAAACAAAAGGAAGGGGAAAAGGGTCAGGAAGCCAGATGAATATTGGAGTGCTCTGGATGGCGACTCGAGAGTACCTGAAAGACAAGTTTGAAGCCATTGAGATTGCGGACGGAGAACTTGGCTGTCCACCCAAGAAGAGAGGGCACCAGCCTGGTCTTCTCTCTGTTCTTTATCCATACACAGCAAATTAAATGATCCGCCGGAATAGGCTTGCGAAATCAAAGGAATAGGAATAGGAATAGTAGGGATGAGAACCCTTTTAATAGTTTTTGTTGGAGTACTACTTAAGGACGAACTCTATTTCGACTCAGAGTCTCCATTATCTAGTCTGTTACTAATTTATTACCAAATTTTTTTCAAATACTATAAGACCAACTGATAAAACGTTGCCTAACGGGAAAAATTAATTAGTTCCCATTTACTTTTTTCACGAAATGTATTTTATTGAAGCTGAGTTGCCAATGTGTACCTATTGTAACCCAAATTTGAATCGATTCAATCAATAAGATGAAATTATTATTAAAAATATAATTTTGATATGTTAAATAAAATCAATATTTAATAATAATATGTATTTGACTCAATGATATGATAATAAAATAAATAGTTAAATTGGTTCAATACCCTTTCGGTTCGATCTAACTCGGTTCAGCTGGACTGTCGATAAGCTCTTAACTGATCCGATATTTATTTGGCTGAGATGAGCTTATCGGATTGAGTAGGCCAACGACTCTCAAATCACTCTACTATGTATAACGATGGTTGTATTTAGAAATATGAGTCAATTAAAAGGAGTCCAATCCTTTGACTTTCGGGGTTAATTTTTGTTATTTACTCACTGCCTTTTAAATCTAGTACTTGTTTTGAATACATAAAAAAATTATTTAAAAAAAAAAACTGAAAGTGGTAAATTGATGGGTCCCATTGACACGTAAAGATAGCAAAATATAGAAAAGTTTGGTAGAACAAGTTGTGTTGGTCAAAACCATTTCACAGGCATGCACTGGTGCTAATCTATTAGTTCAACATTTGTTATTCTTCATCTTAACTAATGCTCAATATTCTAAAAAAAAATAGAAATTATACTGGCATTCCTTTTTGGTGTATCGTGAAATTCATGTCACACAAATATGTAATTTTAGGAAGATATAACTGCTTACATCTCTTGGCTCTTGCTACATGAATCAAGTACCTTGTACAAAAAAAAAAAAAAAACTCTATACACAAGTTTTCAAGATTAAATTTGATCCTCATATAGCATTAAATTATTAAATAAAAAGATCCATCTGCCATCTGTATAATATCTATGGGCATCTTAGCAAGGATAATGGGTTCTTTTAACTAAAAGTCAGTTGGGAAGCTGGAAAAAAATTGCTAGTCATTTCATCCTAATTAACAAAAACATTTTTATGTATTTATTTCCCTTCGTTATTTTCTCTATCTGTTGGCTTCCGTTGGAAAGTCACAATGCGTAAGGCAAAACCATGCCTAAGCAAAAACAACATAAAACCCAACATTCCCTTCTGGGCAATGCATTGCGTAGTTTACCAGATTCGGTGGTCCTCTCATTATTTTTGTCTCAAATTTCTCCCATTGCTGCCATACGTGGCAGGGCTTCAGCCAAGGGAAATCTTAATTCTCAAGCATTGCCAAGAGTGAGATCCCGTCGTACCCAAACATATTTGATTTCCATGCCTAAGTGCCTTTGATCCATCCTTCTCCTCATTCCTTTTTCATTCTATTTCAATTTGGAAACCTTTCTTCCAGCTCCTCAGAATCATTATCTACGCCAACATGTTCAAAAGTATAAATACAGCCCTCAGTTTTTGGATTCTGACACTGACAGATTATGGACGGCCAAAATCAGCATCACAGCTGACAATATTACAAAACAATCCAAAGCAACCCACAATTCTAATGTTGTGAATTAAGACCGAGTGGACCCAATTCCCACCCCATTCACTTCAGGTAAGGCAGCTTGAGAAATAGATGCTCGATGAGGCACCAATCTCAGAGCCACTCGGATTGCTAAATCCCAACCTCTTTGCTAGCATCCTCTCTCGGGCGGATTAGCGGCAATTACAAACCAACCCTTAATTTCCATTCGGATCATCTTCGCTTTCAGGGCTTTTTTAGCACACTCACTTTCTATTGATGACTACCTATAAATTCAATGCAGTTTGTTGAGTCCGTTTCCCGGCACTTTCTTTTCTTGTTTTAATTGTATTTCATTTTCCACAAATCAGCATTTGGCAATTTTATTTTTGCTGCAAGAGGTGAGCTTTAATGAAACCCGCCCGATTCACCATGGTCAACCAGCTCTTTCACTAACTCTTCTTTTCAATGGTAAAAACCCAACAGTACTAGGAAAATTCTGAAGCTCCGGGGGGGCACTAACCATCTTTCTATGCACTCATCAAACCGGTCAATGGAACTCCTTTCCAGCAGGTTGGCAATTGAAGGGAACGCTGCAATTGAAGGGAACGCTGCAATTGCCAACCAAAAAGACTGGATACTGTGTTGAGTCCGAATCATGCAGAGCACTCCACCCTAACGTCAACCTACCCCAAAATTGACCACATGGTTCCGTCTCCCACTTTCAGGTTGAGTCTTGATTTTAACAGGTCTTAGTTTTACCAGGAATGATTAGGGAGGTGATTATTTATGGTTTAATGGCAAAGTCAACCTCATTGGCCCTCCGATAAAGCAATGCTGATGCTTCCACCCTGTAATTTTTTAGAAGGGGCAGAAAAGAAGAAAGAGAAGGCATGTTAAGTCTAACCAGCTAAAAATTGCCAGTATACAATTAATTGACAAGTATAGACAATCTCACCAGCCGGGGTGGACAACAAATTTTCCAGTAGATAGAGCCCAATTCACCTGTTCAAAACAATACCATGAATTAAACCACAAGAGACTTGATTTAGGATACAAGATCAGGAAGCTACTCACCATTCTATCATCATTAAATCCACAAAAAGATACATGTTTCTTAATTAGATAGTAAGAACTATCGGCATATAAATGTTAAGCAGAGATTAAGTATCACTACTAAGCAATTCAGAGAAGATCGATAAAAAATGTAGTCTTAAACTTTGCCAGAAACTACTATATTTAAACAATCAAATAACTCCAAGAACAGAATTTGTTTGGAAAGCAAGAAATTTCAAGAATCAGTACCTTATCAGTTCCAAGAGAGTTGGCCACCACATGTGTGACATGCTCATCTATCTGATTTGTGCACACAGCTCCAAATTGCTCAGCTGTTTGCCACAGTGGATGTAGGTGAGGATTGGCTTCACCAACAGGAAATACCCTACTAAACACTATGCGACAACCAGCCAAAATCTTCCGTTGCTCTGCAGCTAGGATATTTCTTACATCTACATCATCTAAATTCTGATGTGAAAAGAAATCTTGATGTATTCTCTCAATAACCTATTTGAACAAAAATAGGGGTGAGACATAAATATTAATTTTTCATAAATGTTGAGATCAAGCAAAACTGTCATCTCACCGCCAAAGAAGATGCCAACGTCCCATCTTCTGGTCTCTCATCATGGTCAATCTCAAGAAGAGAAGGACCTAGAAGCCCAAATTGGCGTCTACTACAAGGGAAATAAGTATACCTGTAGACCATATGATTAGATGAGCATGGTGATCAAGACAGTGACATGAATCAAAATTTTATAGTATTCAGTCAAGGAATGCATACCTCTCTACAACAATCAAGTTAAGCTTATTATGCGGCCAGACTCTGACAGAATCATCAATGATAACCACACCCGATTCCATACCCAGAACCCCTTCCAGATCCTTACTCCGAGGAACCCTCTCATCACCATCAAAGGGATCTCCATCATCACCCCTAGAAATGACACGTCCAGCAAACAAAACCCCTTTTGGATCAAGCACTTTTGCCATCTCCGTGGCATATAGCTTGTTCCCCATTGTGTATAGATGCAGCTCATACAACTTACTAGCCTGAAATCATGACAGAAAATACAGTGAGTGTTTCAGTTAAAACTCAATTCCTAAAAGGAGAGAACTGAAGCGAAGAAAAAATCATAATGACTCGCCTTCTCTAAGAAATTCCAAATTCCAGGTCGCAATTTGGTCCACATTCCCATATGATGAAAGCGGAAGAGATGTCTCTGTGGTTTTTCACGATCCTGTTCCTCTTTCTTTCTCAAGATCTCCTCATGCACCGGATCTACTTCAATAAACTGAAAAGATGAAAGGTAAATGGTTTAAACAAGCACCTTTACCAGATAAAATTAAAAAAGAAAAGCAAAGAAAGTTAGCACTTCATTTATGAGAACTCACTTTGGCTGAATTAAGAAGTGTATGATCTAGATCCAAGACAAGACAGAGTTTGTGTGCAGAAAACATTTTCTTCTGTTCTTCTATCCTCCTTGCCCTTTCTCTCTGGATAGCTGCCTTTTGCTGGTCATCATATCTTTCGAAAAGATGTTCAACATCTCCCCATGCATTCTGTGAATGAGGACCGGTTGCACCTACTTCAGGTGCTAAACCAGCCCCGGTCTGCTGATCCTCAGAATTAGAAACTAGTGCTTTCATATCCATGCTGTCAGACTTAATTTGTACTGGTTGGGGGACTAAATTCTGGGGCACTGGTGGCAGACTAGTCAATGCTTGTGACACAGACATAATATCAGCAATATTTTTAAGATTTTTGGTGAATTGTTGAGTGATATCTGGTGGTGGAACAAGCTGAGATTGCATCGGCTTCGATTCTGTCTGACTGTCCAGATTTTGGGCATTCAGATTATCCTTGCTTCCCTGGGTGCTTGAAGTAAGGGCTCCATTTGTTTTTAATTGATCAGGTCCCATGCTACCACTCCTTTGAAGTGAATTTCCATGAAGAACACGGCGAGGGTCACGAGGTTTCATGCGAATTTTTCCAGACTCATCCTGAAAAGTTATCAATTACTTAACACCAAGACTAAAAGATGATGAAATAAATATTAATTTTTGAAGATGTTAAAACTAAAAGCAACTTATACAATTTCATTCATCCTCATTTGGGAGAAACAGGGTAATGGCATGGAGATGAGAAACTTGCTGAAGAGGCAGATGCTTAAAGCAAGTATGATTCCCACATTTTTCAAGGTAAACATAATACAATTAAGTGCTCACCGGAGAAGGAACCTGAAGATTTCCTGCAGGTTTTGACAAAATCCCAGACGAAATTGAGGGAACATTGTTCACAGAAGGGGAGGAAATGACATTTGTGGAGGAAACTACTCCAAGTAATGAATTTGAGCTTGGCTGATGTAATGTACTTTTTACAGGATCAGGGGATTTCTGCTGGGCTTCAGCTCCTAATCTCTGCTGTTGTCCCATCTTAAGTATGCTTATCAGCATGGTTGGATTCACTGCAATATCTTTCAACAAAGCAGGCAATGAAGGGGTACTCGTACTTGTCACTGGCACCTGCTCATTTGTACCAACAGTCATATTAGTTTTACCACTTAGAGTACTTGAACTAGTTACTCCATTATCCATTTTCCTGGAATTGGATTCCAAATTCTCTGCCGTTTGGTTTCTGTTTGTTATCTGAGACCCAATAACATCAGTATCCTCTAACCAGCCACCAATTCCACACACAGTTTGCACATCCCTAGCAACCCCTAAATTTTCCAACTCATTCCTTTGTCTTTTGAGTGCAGGGCCATCCAAAATAGGTTCTTCAACACTCTTTCTCTTCCTTGAATCCATTATTCCTCCAACAGGTGCCACTTTAGATGCATTATGCAAGGGCCGTTCGTTTAGATCCAAAGCACTTGCATTAGTGTTGGCAAACCAAAGCCTAGGGTCTCTGCTTTTTGCTAAGGATTTCGACACTATATTAGACACAGAACTCATTGGTGTCGCATTTCTAGTTGTAATCTGTCCCTGCAAGCTGGAATTAGCACTATCAACTAGAGGTGCTGAAGAAACAATTGGATGCCCCAAAATGGGCAAATTTGGTTTAAAGTTACCAATGGTGGAGGAACTAGAAACTTCCCCACCGTTATCACCACCCTCATCACCAGATTCTTCAGAAGGGGTTGGGCTTGGAAGTCTATCACTTGAAAAGAAAGAACCTTGACCAAATTTTTGTTGATAGGTAGAAAAGGCTTTGAGGGCATCTGTTTCATAAGGGTGCAATTTATTACCTTCTGCATCATGTGAACCTTTACCTGTCATAAACCCTGATTTAACCATGACATCTCCACTAGTCAATGGCTTGTTTACAGGCAAACATGGTGTTGTTTCTCGCGTAGGTGAAGGAAGGCTGTCTGCATCATGATCCTTGTGAAGGTCTAGCAGGGGCAGTGAAATCCCTCTGTTCCTAAAATTAGGTACTCCTGGCTTTAAAGTTTCTGTTAATGCATTTGGTTTATTATTAATTACGAACTTGGCAGATGAGAGCAACTTATTCGTGACAGTCAAATCATGACAAATATTTTCAGGTAAAGCATCAGGATCCTTCTTGTTAACTCCGTCTACAACCTTTATCTCTTTCTCTGTATCAATTGCACTAGCAGGGGAATCTAGAGAGATCAGCATGACATCAATCTGTAAAAACAGACACCATATTTAAGTTTCGATGAATACAAAACAATCGTCCTAAGCTAATAGTTCCTAAACAAACAAGTCAAGAACCAGACCTCTTTCATCTTGTCAGGAGGGAACAGAGAAGGATCATGACCCTTTACAATGGAAAGTAACCTGTTCCCAAATGGAAAACAAAGGTATAACTAATTGAACTGATTTCATGAAAAATTTTAACAAAGAAAAGCTATTAAAATCAAATAAAACCTTGATAAAATGGCCACATTCTGTTCCTTTGAATTACAGTTCAGAGCAACAAATGCCTACAATGAAAACGAAATCAGACTCTAATATTTACATCCAGCATGTTACAATGAATTAACCAAGAATTTCACATAACCGTCAGGTAAACAACTATTCAAAAATAACTCCTGGATGGCTTACAGAATTAATTGCTCCAAACGCCAGTTGAATAAGGGCGTCCTTCAAAGGAACACTGCATTCAAATATCAAACCTCGCAAGCTCTCCAGAGCATTCTGCAGTCTGGAACAAACTCCCTCGAATGATCTACAAACAGAAGAAAAAGGGCAAAAAAGATCAACTCAACAAAGCCATCTAACTCACTAAGCTCAAATATAGGCAATTTTTTCAATGCAATGTTCGTACTTCTCTGCTTCAATCACAGTAACCCCTTCCAGTACTCCCCGAATCAAGTTAACTCGCTTCTCCAGCTCATCCGAGTTACCAACATTACCATCCTCACTACCCAAAACCTTTTCTTTAGGCTCCGAATCTAAATCAATCTCCCCCTCTTCCAACTCCCCTTCTTCCTTGTCTAGATTCACAACCTTGTCCTCCTCCATTTCATCCTCACTATCATCATCAATCACGACTTTATCAGCTAAATTTCCACGACTACCCTTCTCCTCTTTGCTATTTACAGAAGCCACCGAAGACGACGGCGACGATCGCTTGGAGTTGTTGTTCTCGTCTTGTTGTGGTTGTTGTTCAAAATCCTTAACAAAAATCTCATTCAGAGGTTTATTCTGAACTGCTTGTGCCCAAGCAAAATTATACAAACCCGAAGCATACCCTCGAATAACCGACGGGTACTTGCACAGATCCTGCATCGTCCAAACTCTTGAATTCGAATTCGCTTCTCCTCCTTTCGACGACTTCGATTCCTTCAAAATCTTAACATCTTGCTTGTTAAAATCTTCCTCACTGATCTCCTCTATTGAAGTTGAATCCGAAATTTCGCCTTCTTCAACATCCTCCACTTTAGTTTCATCTTTTCCCATCTCCCCTAGGGTTTCCTCGTTTTTCTTTAATTTACTCCACTCGATCCAATTAGATCCAACAACATACATGTATTTACACTCCAAAATACTTTTAGAGAAACAAGCAATCGATCCAAATCTAAGCTCTTAACGCAAAATAAAAAAATTTACGAAATTTTCTTCACTAGATCACGAATTGGATTAGAGTGAATAATTAACCCGATAAATTAAGATCTGTAACCAATTTATACTGGAAATTCTTATTTTCAAGATTTGAACTCAGATCTGTTCGATTTTTGAGGATTGTAAGACGGTGGCGACAAATATTGCTTTCTTAAGATCGAAGATGAGATAAGAGGAAAGATGGAAATTGGGAAGAGAAAAATAAAATTTCAAAATAAGATTAAATAGAACAACTTGAAAATATAGAGAGTAAAAGAGAAAAGTTAAAAAACACAAGGGAAGGAGAGTTATAAGGAGATGGAGAATTTAGGACACGCTAGAGTTTTGAATCTGGACCGTACACGTCAGACATCCAGAAACAAAAGCTGTTCTGGGTGAGCGTAGTGTGATGCAACTAGGAATAGTTAGTGGAGAGGATGAGGGCGATGAGTCAAATGGGTTTTGGGTCGGTTTCTCAAGATCCAGATCCTTTTCAGCTTATTAGGTGTTGCATGATATGAAATATAATTTAAAAAAATAATTATAAAAAAAATATTTAAAAGATGAAAAGTTTTTATTTGAACGCATATTTATAAATAAAGTAAAAGATTTATTCATAAGTTAATAATTTTTAAATCTTAATTTTAATTTAATTTATATTTAAATTTCTATATATAATCAAATTTAAGAATTTGAATCAGATTGTATTTTTGTGTTTAGCTTATTGTGTTGTTTGACTTATTCTAAACTTTTTAAATTATAATATAATAGATATTCATACATATATTCATGATATTCTTCTTGAATATCTTTTGCATTAAGAATATGTTTCGTTAAAATTTAACTAGAAAAAAACTTCATGAAAAAAAAATCGAAATGAAGTAAAAAGAGTATATAATTCTGTTTAGGAATACACTTTTGAAATACTATTTCATTAAAAACCTTATCTTATTGAAGGAAAAAAAAATAGTTCGCGTTTTGCTCCTTTAATGACTACATTATTTAAAATCTTTAAAATGGTGTATTTTAATTTTTCGTACCAAATTTTCAAATGTTGCAATAGAAAGAGCTTTGGTAAATAAATTCACTAATTGTCATTGAATGAATTTTTTGAATACTAATATCACCTTTTTCTTAGAGATCATACTTGAAAAAGAATTTTGGTGAAATATGTTTTGTACTATTGCCTTCAATATATTTTTCTTATACAAGAGGTATTATCTTCATATAACGTTGTTAAAATTTCTTTTTTAATTGACAAGTCACTTGTTTCTCAAATATATTGAGTTACAGAATTTAACCAAATACATTCGTGACTTATCTCATGAATTGCCAAAATTTTTTGCAAAGTTAGAAAAAGTAGCAAATATAATTGTTTTACAAAACACTACGAAATAGTCGTACCTCAATATGTGAATAAGTAATTTGTCTACGATTGAGCTTTATGTGGATCAAATAAATATTTTGCATTTGCATAGCCTATTAAATTTGATTTTAATATATTTTAGTAATATGAACATGTCTATTGTACGTCGAAGATATTGAAATATATGTTTAATTCTATTCTAATGTCTTTGAGTTGAAGAATAACTATATCTTACTAATAAATTTATAACAAATGATATACCAGGTTGTGTATTGTTAACAAGATACATTAGTGTTTCAATTGTATTAAAATATGATACTTCAGGAACAATAAGCTCTCCATCATCCTCATAAGGTCAAAAAAGGTCCTTTTTTACATCTAGTGACCTTATAATCTTTGGTGAACTTAATGGGTGTGTTTTGTCTATATAGAATCATTTTAGTACTTTTGCTCTATAATTCAATTTATAAACAAAAGTTTCATATGTCAAGTACTTAATTTGAAGATTCAAACAAAACTTTATTTTTCCAATATCTTTAAATAACACACGGCTTTAATAACTATTTAGGAGTTCCAATCATATTCTAATTATTACCATAAACAGTAATTATGAAAAAATCAAATTCAAATTTTTTTATAAAAACACATGGGCATATAAAATCATTTTACAGCATTCTTTCAACAAATGTTTACTAAGGTAATTATACCACATGTGTTCAGATTACTCGATCTATATATATATTTATTTATTTAATTTGATCGAATAATTTTTTTGAGAATTGTATACTTCAAGCAACTTAAATCCTTCAAGGATTTTCATATAGATATCGATATTAAGTGAACCATATAAATGAGCTATAATTGTAACACCCCCGATTTTTGAACATAAATTATGGAGAATGAATTTGAATTAGTAAATGGATTTGAGGACCTTGATGATGTGATAAATATGTTGAGTATGTGGGAGCATGCTTATTGATGCTTAGGCAAATTTTATGAATATATTTGGTAAATCTTAAAGTTTGATGATTTGATTAAAATTTGATAATATATTTGAGTATATGTATGAAGGATTTTGAGTAATATGAATGATTTAAAGTGTTTTTACTAAAAGAAAGTGAATTGGAGGCCTTGGGGATGAATTTGGAGACTTGGAGGAAATGAAAATATGAAATCTGGGCATGATTTATCAATAGGTGTTCTATATCTATCGATAAATACAAGATAAAAGGTTTGGGAAGGCAATTTGGACTAACATCTATCGATAGATTCACCTTAACTATTAATAGATGTCCACTTGAGAATCAAATGAAGTGATATGGATGGAATCTATCTATAGATCCATGAAATCTATTGATAGATAGCTATACAAAACCAGAGTGAGAAACATCTATTGATAGATTTACGAAATCTGTCGATAGATGGCCAAATGGGGAAAAATAAAAAGGGGCTAGGGCACGATCTATCAATAGATTCGAGGAATCTATATTCACATATAAACATATATGCAATAATACAATAAATTAATCATGTCTGAAATGGGTCTTATATAGGTTAGGCGGGTTTGACATGGTTAAGACACAATTTATCTGTATCTTAATTGTGTCAACACTATTAATACATGAAACATGATTATATTAAATCCAAACCCGTTTAAAACTATGTTGTTCTCGTGTCATGTATAAAATTGCCAAGACTACTTCTTAGCACAATTTAAGAAAACTTTCTCACTTAAAATTTTTCAAGAAAATTATCCCTTATAATGTTTTTGAAATTCTATCACTGAAGAATTTTTACTTATTTATTTATTTATTCATTATTACTTTTTGAAGCTAAGCACACAAGTAAATATAATGATATAGTTTCAAATTACTAAATATTTCTAACATTTATTTTATTTATTATTATTCTCTTACTTTTATATTTCTTGCTAGTTTTACCATTGCCAAAAAATGAAATAACAAATAAAAAAACTAACGAATAGAAAATAAATGCCAAAATAAAATAAAAAGGAAAAGAAAAGAGGAACAAAAATAAGTTCATACCTTTTTATATTAATTGGACCTGCCCTTTTTAAATCTTAATATTGCAAACAAGCCATGGGATAGGATTGAACTAAAATGGGCCTCAGTCAATGTTCAACTTCTTTTTTCAATAAAAATGATGTTATTGGGGTTAATCAAACACAAAACCTATCATTTACCAAATTATAATCCAACCAGCCAAGCTATGGCATAAGCTAATATTTGCTTTCCTATGTTGGTTTAAGTATTATTTAATATTATCACTATATAAACCCAAAATAAAACCTAATTCCATTTTTACCAAAGCTTTTTTCTCTCTAGTAGTGTGACACTTTCTTTCTTTAGAATAATACTTAGAATATCTCTTTTAGTCATTTCCCCTACTACCAATGGCCCTAAACACTTTTTCTCTTCCTTTTCTTTCCACTGATTGGAACTCTCTGATTTTGTTAGCTTTAAAATTGACCTTTCTTTTGAAATGACAAAATTAAATAAACTAAATATGCTTTGAAACTAAATAAAAATATTTTTGAACTTGAAGAATAATCCTTAAATGTTGTAAAAGACTTTTAAAGTTGGTTGTGCAAAGAAAAAGTTTTCAAACACTTAAATTCTCAATATTTCAATTGCTAGTTTCAACCTTTTGAAAGTGAAAGATCAATTTTAAGTAAAACAGAAAGCAAAATTTCCTTTCTAAAATAGATAGGATCAACCCCTAGAGAAGGTTGGGTCAATCCTTGAGAATACAAAAGCATTTTGGAAAGGAAATGGAAGAAAAAAGATTGACACTTGAAGAAGCAAAGGTCGATCCTAAAGACACATAAAGCAGACAGAAGTATACTGTGTTTGAGAAAATCAATCCTTATAGAAGCAAAGCTCGATTCCAAGGAATAAAGAATAAAAAAGATCAAGCTTGGAAGATTGGGATCTACCCCTCAAAGAACTAAGTGTCTATCCTTGATGTTGCAGGAAGGAAAATCGAAACTTTAAAAGGAAAGAAGCAATAGTCATTAAAGATAAGAAAGGAGCCTTCCAAAACAAATTTAAAATACAAAATTTGGCCTTGATGTGGAAGTTGGATTAAGTGTCAATCCTCAAGGAAATAGAAAGCTTTTAACTTTAAAATGGGACAAGAAATCTCAACATTTCAAGGATGCAAAAGTTTATTTTTGAGAGATAGAAAGGTTTTGGATGCAAATCAGACAAAAGAATCGACCCCTTGCACATGTATAAGTCAATCCTTACAAGCTTTTAGATTGAAACAAATGTTGATCCCCAACTATAAAAGATTAATCCATGAAGTACGAATGAAGTGATTCAAATGATCTTAATGGTCAAAATTTTCGTTCTAACTTTCTCTAATTGGTAAAAACCACAAGGAACTATAAATACCTTGATAAGGATGTCATTTAGCCAGAAGAAGAGTTGAAAATCATTCAAAAGGTAAAAGAAAAGCTAAGATATCTAAAAATTCATTCTTTTTCTCTCTACTACACATTCTTTTAGTAGAGCATTCTTTTTACAGCTTTTATTCTTTAAAATATCTTCATCTTTAAAATATCTTCATTCTCTTATACTTAGTTAGCTTATCAACCTTATGAGGTCATTATCTTTGTAACCTTTAAGTGTATTCACTATTATTGTCAGTTACACCTTTATTGAAAAAGTAGTTATCGATTATATCTCCATTGAAAAGGTAGTTGTAAGTTATACCTTCATTAAAAAGTATTGTGGTTAAACCTTAACTCGTAAAAGGTTGGTTGCTAAAGGTTATGCCTTAACTTGATTTAAAACGCATTTCTTAGTGGATTCAAACTCTTTGAGAATCAAGGGAAATGATGTAGGCTTTAAGAGCTGAAATTTTATAAAAATATGGTTGTGCCGTTTTTTCATTTCTTATCATCTTTACATGTTTTAGCGTAAGTTTCATACTCTATTTTTAAGTTTATATTTAAGTTTGTTTTGCTTTAGTTTGAAGCTTATTTTCTTATCTCCAAAGCTGAGTTTTTCAAGTTGTATCGCTATTGCCTTGAACATC